CACCCACACACCTGCTTTGCACGGGGGTGAAGTAAGACCTTGGCAAGTTTGGTGGCTTCCCCCAAATCACCAGCACCGGCGTCAGGCATGCACGCCCGGGGCAGGAGGTGAGCACACGAGGATGGCACGTGGTGTCCCTGCCCATGGCAGGGGGGTTGGAACCAGGTGATCTTTACGGTCCCTTCCAACCCAAACCATTCTGTGATTCGATGATCAGAGATTCCTGCCCTCACTGCCCTGAGAAATTCGTGTTAAATTAAGCTTCTTCCCAAGAACCAGCGCGGCTCCGCTTTGCCAGGGCAGGGAGAGCAGGACGCGGAGGCTTAGGAGGTTTCACGCAGAAAAGGAAGGATTTAGGTAAATGCGCGTCGCCTGCCAAGGCAAATACTAGTTTGAATCGCAGAAGCCCCACTCACCCGGGGGATGCTGCGCTCGCAGGATCGGCGCTGCAGAAGACGCCGGTTGCTCGGCTGGCCAAGCTTCGCCCTTTAACGCTGGCGGGACACGTCGATCGAGCACCGTGCACATTTTGCACCTCGTGCGGAAACGGCCACGAAACCGTTTGCCAGGACAGCTGCCCGTCGGCAGGGCTGAAAAATTACCTGGTTTCCTGACAGTTGTCTTTGAAGCGGGGGTTCCTTTGAGGTTTGTTTTGGCAAAGCTGGGGGGTTCACGGTGCTCAGCCCCCCTCGGGCAGGGTATAATATTCACCCGGGTTTGAACCCGCTGCCGGTGCCCGGGCGGCAGTCGCAGCGGCTGGCGTGAGCGTCGAGGCTCGGTCAGAATAACTGAAGCGAAAAATGTGGCAGGTTCGTGATTCCACCCACAGACCAGAAAATGCCAAACTTGTATTATTTTTGAATCCCCTGATTTTTAAGGGCTGGTGGAAATAAGATATCTTGCTTCTGACTTCCAAGCAATAAAGAGAGGTGAATCACTACTAAAAAAAACCTCCCGTGGACCACCCAGTCGCTCCCTGCAAAGTGTAAAACGAGCCTCGGCAGAAGTGGCAAAGTGCAGAACTATTTTCTTAACATTACTGCAATCGCGCGAGGCAAATCACATCAGAAAAGGATCAGGGTTTCCTAACCAAGTAGCTAAGTGAGAAGGGTGTTAATGAATACAGGCTGATTAATATGCATTGAACTAAATCACATTCAGGTCAAAGGGGGAGCAGCAAACCCGGAGTGTAACGTGTTGTGTTCAAGGACCTAACATGTGTATGTAATTCAGATTTAAATACTTTTTTCCCCTCATAATTCTGGATAATTATCCAACTCGGGATAAATACGTAATTATTTTTTTAACTAAATAATAGTTAGGACTTTTGTTACTTACTGTATTCGGTCAGATCTCTCATTTTTTTAAGATTATGTGGCTGTTACTGAAGAGTCCTGCTGGGGTTTTGAAAAGTGTAACTTGCAGATCACCGTATTTAAGAAAATAGAGCTAATCGTATAAAATATGAAATTACACGTTTTTAACATTTATTTGTTGTTTTTAATGAGAAAACATGCATCTTTTTAGCACAACGCTGGCTGAAACTCCCCAGACTGAAATTGTGGATGCGTCATTGATGTTTCCATTGTGGAATAGTATTTTGGGAGACCAACTCTTTGTTTTCGAGCTGGAGAGCAAGCACCACAGTGAGCCTGTTTCAGGGAAGGAGAGGGCACACTGGGTGGGGGCACTCGGGGATAAACCATGGGGAAGCTCCAGGGACCAGTGTTTGGGGACGCAGTTATTTTGGGGTGAACTTGTAATTAAGATATCGGATTTGTGATTGGGAGATTTGGGACCTGTTTCAGGTTCTGCTGCAAGACTCCTCACGTGATCCTGAGTGAGTTTCTTTAAGGCAATACCCAGAGAGTGTGGATGAAGTAAGAATGAGGTGCCAGAATTCTTCCGCTCCCTGCCTGTAATGCAGCTGTAATGTATCCTAATTTTGATCTAGCTTTGTCCGGTATGTTTAGATTTAGCTTTTTTTCAGGACAGGAACTGTCCTCTTACCATCTGTTTTGGCCAGTCCAAGCTAAACGGGCCCACGTTGCAGTTGGAGCCTCCTCGTGTTACGTGAGCGTAACAAAATCCTAATGACAAACCTGCAGGTAATGCCCCAAACCCCTTGAAAACAAATTAAGGGTGCTGCTTGTGAAGTAACGTGATGGGCTCTTTTCCTTGTCCCCATCCATACGGTTGGCACTGCCGTGGAGACCTTGCCCTCAAACAAGCCCCCGCAGAGGTCGGAGGTCAAGAGACCCCTCTCTAAAAGCCAAGGGCAGCGTGAAGGAATGTGTCAAAAAATATATTGCAGCGTTCCGAGGCATCCCAGGGTTTAGCCAAAGACCTGCTCTGTTACAAGGTCTGTAGGAAGTTTTACCACAACAGTGGCTACGCGATGCGTTCCACAGCGGGGTTGGTATCTGCCACTACCTGTCTGAGCGTCCATCGTCCTGGCCAGAGGAGAAGAACCTGCAAGGTTCACTAAGGTTTCCTCTTTGATTGGGGTGTAGCTTTTTGGTGTCCATTGCGGGGTTTTTGTCTGTGTGGGAGAAGGCAGACCCAAAGGTGGGCTTTGCCACAGGAGTGGGAAGTTTGTGATGCTCCCCAGCTCCCAAGAAGTCTTGTTACGTTTGACTTGAGTTGGGTCTTCAAGGCAGCTGGGTTTCCTCCAGAAACCTGCTGTCCTTGGGTGCAACCTGGGCTGGAGGAGCAGCGGGGAACTTCAGCTGGGCCTCTTGGGTCTGTGGTCAGTCCTTCAGCTTCTGCATCGCCTCAGGGTTTCCGAAAGCTTCGTTGCTTGTTCACCGAGAGGAGGAGACCAGCGGTGGGGCTGAGGTTAGTTTGGCAGGAGCGTGGGTCCACGCTGCAGCTCCTCTGCCCGCGGCGGGAGGCTGGGGGTGTTGTGGGTTCGCGCGTTCGGTCTTGCACTGTCTTGAAAGTCTTCCTTGGCCGCATGAGCTAAAAATTGTGAGGAAACAGTTCACGGGAGGATAAAGTTCAGCTGTGTGAATGGAGGAGTGTTCTTTAAATAAAATAATAGTCGTGCCAATCAGGGTTACAGCTTTCAACCCAGCTGGAAGGTGGGGAAGTTCTCATTAACTGATCTGAAGGATGAAAAATAAATGACTTCGTTACATCATGGCATTATTTTTCGACGTGTAATGCATTAAGTCAGCTTTATAACCTTCATTTTTTATGGAGAGGATGGTGAGACTACTTTCTTTCTTTTCCTTTTTTCTGCCTCTTTTGTTTTAACGTGTCTGAGGAACAGCTAGTTAATTAGGGCTAAAGCCTAAGTAATGTGACTAATTGGACGAGAATCCAAATCAACCTCAAAACTCAAATAGTCCCGAACAGGCATCAGCTGCTTTTCTCTTCTTGTCTTCGTGTGCCTGGATTCCCGTGCATTGTTCCATGCCAACACGCTAAATCGCTCCCAACGCGTTCCTTTGTCACCGCTGCGATGGCCGGGCAGCCCCGGGGAAACCCAGATGTGTCTTCACGGCCACCGCCCTGGCGTTGCCTTCGTTTGACCCCTCGTTTTGCTGGCGCTGGAGCAAGTTCACAACGTCCATTCTGCGCCCGGTGCAGGTCTCGGTGTGAGCGAGGTTGAGCTGGCAGCGATCCCTTCTCGGATGGAACATGGAGCAATTAAATGCTTTTTGGTTAAAAACCATATTGTGTATGAAAGCAAAGCAACGGGGTTTTTGAGTCGGTCAGTTCTCAGCATCCTCGGTGGGGTCAGCGCAGCCCGGGCTCCTGCCGTCCGAAGGTTAACGGGCAGATGGGGTGAAATGGGGCTGCGCGACACGTGGGATGGTGCACGGTGCGGGAGGTGGCTGTGTGGTGCTGGGAGCTGCGTGTGGGCAGGGGCACTCGTGTGCGCGGGCCGGCGAGCACCAACGCGACATCCCGGCGGCGCAGATCAACGCGGCGTTACAACACAGCAGGAGGGGTGGGTCTGGTTGAGGGTGAGAAGCGTTCGCGTCGCTGTGCCAGTTCCTGGCGAGACCCATCTGATAGCCTCCGCGCGGTCCTCGTCAGCACCCAGAAGGATGGGTTGAACCTTGCTGGGGTTGAGGGCCTGGTTGCTGGGATGAGCCAGGTGGGGAGGTCCTCCGGGGGAGGAGAGCAGAGCGGTTTGGCGTGCTTTGAAGAATAAAGCTCTGGCGGGGGGTTGGCACGTACCTTGAGCAGGGGTTGACCCGCGTCTTCCCCATGGCTGATGTGTGAGACCGTGGTGAGGAATTGACGTCTTACAGCTGCAAAACGAGGCCATGTGCTGTGAAAATGTGACTCATGACCAAGGCTAAACGAGCAGTGCCCAAAGACAACCGCCTCGTGCTCGTTAGGGCTTGCTGGAGAACGGCAAGAAGGTTCCTCATATTTTTCAAGTCGTCGTAAGAGTAAGATAAAAAATAATGCGTACCTGAAAAAAGCCTTTCCCAATGAGTACAGGTATTTACGGAGAGCCCTCCAAAGGCTCGCAGGTTTTTCCGCTTTCTCTGCCTTACACATGCAAGACATTCTCCTAAACAGCCAATAAAAGCTAAAATTAAAAAAAAAAAAAAAAAAAAGGCCTCTTAAATAATGCACACTTCTGTCTTTAATGCTGCTCTTTAATTAGAAGTTCCAGTATTTCCTCCTGAAGGGTTTCAGGAACGTTGCTGTCACCGATACGTCGGCACAAGCAGGAAGCAGGGGATTCCACTGGGGCCAAACTGCTGCGCCGTCCCCGGGAGCGCTATGGAAATCAAGTCACTCTATACCCTGGCAGATCTTTTTAGCAAGGGCAGAGCTCGCACTGCGAGCCAGTGGGGTACATTTGGGCTGTAGCCTGGGCAGGGAGGGAAAGGTTTGCCATCGCCATTGCAGCCGTGGAAAATCAGCAAGGTACATGCTAGGGTGCTAAAATCCAGCCGGCGTTTCCTTCACCACGCTTCTCTGTTGTCGTTTAAGCAGATGCAACACCCACTGCTGCCTTCTTTCCCATTTAGGTGCTTCTGATCATAAGTGGAAACCTGAGTTTCCTCAACTGGCTGACCATCGTGCCCAGCATCGCCTGCTTCGACGACGCCAGCCTGGGGTTCCTGTTCAGCTCCAGGCGAGGAGGGGTGAAGGAGCGGGTGACGCAGATGGAGCTCAAAGCAGCAGCCAGGGAGCAGCTTCCCCTGGGTAAGTTAGTCCCAGAGCGGGGGAAAAACATGCACAGAGGTGTGTTTGGTGTGCTTCTCTCAAAAGCTGTCGTCTCCTCCTGGAGCAAACCTGGCTGGGCAGGGAGATGACGCTGCCCCTGCGTGGTCTCCTCTGTGGGCTGGAGGGTGCCTGGACCTCACGCAGTGGGTGGTGAGGATGAAGCTGGTGGCTGGTGGGGAATGGTGTGCGGGGGGGAGTGCTGTGAAGGGGTTGCCACGGTGAGGATTTTGTGTTGGAAGTTGGGTGCAGAAGAAGCTCTGGTGTTTGCTCTCCTCCCTCCCCCATGGCATGGTGGCCCTGTGATCCCTCTGCCCTCTTGCTCGCGTTTTAGGGCTGCACGAGCACGCTGCTTCCCTGGTTGAGTAGCTGGACATGAGGTTGGTCTTCCAGAAAGAACCAAGTTGATTGTTGATCCGTTGTGGGTCCAACAACTCTTTCACTAACTGGGAAAGAGACCTGGCTGCTGCGAACGTGGCCATTCCCCGTTGGGTGTCGTGCCTGGAGAAGCTGCTCGTGGCCACCGCTGGCACCGTGGGCACTGTCACAGCGGGGAGCGAGTTCCCCAAAGCAGGGAGGAGGTGAACTCATGTTCATACTGTGACTCTGGGAAAGCCAATACCAGGGGGGTTGTAACTGAACAAAAGGGATCGGTGTGGCTGCTGTGTCCTTCTGACGGGAGTTTTCAAGCAGCCCTGTTCCAGAAGACCGCCCGCACAAGCAACACTGGGATATTTTTCATGGGGCTGCCTAACAGATGTGGACTTGTGTTTGTAGCATTTTTATAAACCGCATATAAGCAACAAATTGCCTATAATATCAACAACAATCACAGATGCTCATTTTTAAATATACTAAACATCTGTCAGAAGAATGAAGAACGTCAACAAGACACAGCATCTGTCTCTAGTCCTTCCTCATCTACCGAGAAAGAGCTTATTAACCAGAGGCGTTAGTTCCAGCAAGGCTAATGCAGTTTCATTAAACTTTCTGTGTCTCCTATCTTATGTATTTTGCTGGAAGAAATCTTTTGCCCTCTGGTAGCTTTGCTTTAGAGGCTCTGAGAGCCTAGAGCTTTCCTACCAACTGTATTTTTCCATCCAGTCCCAAACAACACTCAAGTTGCACGTTCCTTTCTGGAGGAGAAGCCAAAGGGCACCTCTTTGCTATGGCACTCGATGGGTCACCATGAGGGGGAGGTAGAGCCTTTCTTTGAGGAACTTGCTCCTTTTCTGTGGTGTTCTCCAGAAACCTTACTGAGCCAGGGTGCCCAAGCAAGGAGAACCATCCGTACGTAGCACTGCTCTGGTGTGTAGATGTGTCCCTGTTCTGGGCTTTTAAAAAGGGGTAATCCATAAGTAAAGGGTAGGGTGTCTGTACTATTCTGGGTGCATTTTGATTCCTGCATATTTTTTTTCTGCTAACAAAGCGGAGGCTGTTGAGCTGGTGCTGATGGGCTGTGTGGCAAGAGGCTTAGAGGAGCCCTCACCCCTGGGTCACCAGAGCAGAAGACAGGAGGGTACCCAGCCATGCCCTGCTTGTGACCTGATTTTACAAGGCTCTGGCCACATCCTTGTAGCGTGTGTGTGTGTGTAATTCCTACTGAGACCTCGAATTCCCATCGCTAGTGCTCAGCTCCTGCTGCTCGATCCAGCTCCCATTGGCTCGTGTCCCGTGCTCCTTCCCCAAGTTTTGCTCCATCCTTGCCGTGTAGATTATTTTTTTTTCTTGTATTAAACACTTTTTTCTCTGTGACTGAGTAGCTGTGACCCCAAGGGCTTGATGACAGTCACCACCTGCTGAAGGACGAGCAGTCCATGCGTGGCCATAGAATGTGACGGGAGGAGCTGCATGCTGGAGGGCTTCTGTGTCTGTACCTTTATTTACAGACTCGGGAGTTCAGCCCATCTAAAAGACAAAAAAATGCCCTGCAGACTCGTACTGCTCTCGCAGCAGCACAGGGGGCGAGGGGAGGCATCTCGGCGAGCTCCTTCCCAAATCAAATGATTCTCCAGAAATGTTCTCAGACTAAACAATTATTAATAGCTTCTGAGAGAGGTTCAAATAAACATCCCTCTCCTGCAGAGATAAGGGGAAAGCTGCATGCAGTTGCTTTGAATCTGAGCCTTTGGCTGTTGATGTTAAACAAATTTAAAAGGGCCATAAGGGTAGGAACCCCTCCGAGGTCACGGCTGCTTATTTGTCTGATTGCAGTAGGTGTCTCCTTAGACTGAAATCCAGCACAGCCCCGCGCCGCTCCTGCAAGCACCGAAGCGACACACGTCCCGTACATAAGTGAGAAGCAATAGAGATTTTGCAAAAGGAAAACGAGGTTGGGATGGAGCTAGTGAGCGAGGAGAGGTGGGGGAAATGCACGAAAAAGTCTGGGTGGTGAGAGCCTGGGGCGGCGGGGAGGAGGCAGCCGCGGGCAGGAGCGGAGCCCCGGGGAGCTGGAGGCACTCCCCGCACGGCTTACAAACCAGGAGGGCAATTTTGAGCAAGGTGCAAGTGCCAGCTGTGGTTTTTCCCCTGTATTAAAGCAATGATTAATCTGACATTTTAGACATTTTTCTTTTTAGCCCTTTCTCAGACTATTTAAAGAGAGGCAGATCTCCGGAGCGATAGCGTATGGCCCTTGGCAAGGTCGGGTTGATTACGGCGAAGCGTTTGTCAGCCCCAGCCCGGGAGCCGAGAGCAGCTGTGAGCACCCGGGCAGGGTCCTGGCCACCACGAGGAGGGGGTCGGGCAGGGGAGCCGGGGAGCAGAGCCCATCACTGGCGGTGAAATCACCTTCTTCTGCTCTGCCTTTGTCCCCCGAACAGGCTGCTATATCCGCAAGGCGGTGAACATCTCCTTCGGCCTCCTGATTGCTTATCTCAGCATCCCGGTGGTCCTAAACCTGCTCAACTCCAGACAAGTCATGAACACGTCGTTCAACCCCCTCAGAATAGTGAACACCTACGGAGCTTTTGGGAGGTACATGTATTTTAATGGCACGTCGTGTAGCTCTCCTCTTCTCCCCATGTAGTCCAACAGCTAGTCTGTGTGCCTTAAACCCAAACAGAAATCCTGCCAGTAGCCAGTAGACTTAGGATATCTGTTTATGAGAAAGAAGGAGAAAAGGAGCAGGTTTCTTTCCCACTGAATTATAATTTATGGAATACCTGTTTATGAGAAAGAAGGAGAAAAGGAGCAGGTTTCTTTCCCACTGAACTATGATTTATTTTCTTTGAGCCACGTTCAGTTAGCTCATTATATTGATGTAGCAAACGTAATGGCAGGATGAAAATATCCATGAGAGAGTTCATCCAGTGGATAGTCTTCACCATCACCAGCCCACTGTATTTATGGTGAACTTCTCTTCCCCTGCGCACGTTTGCTCTCCCTCATGTAAATATTCCCGTAAGCTATTGGGTAGCAGATTTTAGGCCAACAAAAGGAAGTGCTTTTTCCAACGAGTGACTTGGGGAATTCACTGCTACAGGAAACTGTGGAGACAAAAATATAAATGGCCTCAAAAAAGAACAAGAGAGATTGAGAGGACAGGCCCAGCAGCAGTCTGGCTGCTGCCTTCGGCTCAGGAAATCCCTCTTTGGGCTGCAAGGTGGGACTGGAGGAGGGCAGCGTCTCCAGCTGCGTTTGTAACCGGGCTGGTTGTGAAACATCTGAGTCTGGGTTTTCTGGGGACAGGTCAGGAATGGTTGGGCTCACAACTGTTCTCGTGTGCCATCCCTCCCCGCCTCTTCCTGACCAGGACAACTGAGAAAATGCTGAAAAACAGGGCTTCATCAGAACAGCCTGCCCCAGGGGCAACAACAGGGCCAGTCTTCTCTGCACGGACCTCTGGCTTTGCCGTGGTGGCCGTGGGGCGTCCCCCAGAGGTCTGAGCCAAGGGGTGGGATGGGCAGCTCTGGGATTAGCGGGCTCTGGCTGAGGTCCCACAGGAGAAGGCAACAGTAATTAAATAGGTTTTATGAAAGGTGAAGCAGGTTGGCTGGTGAGAGGGCTGGCTGAGCAGATGGTGGGTGGGAGGAGCAGGTCTCACGGTGAGTGCTGGAGGTGCAGAGGACACCTGGAGCACATCAAATTAGTCTGATGTTTTCCCTGGTTTTTCAAATAGCAGAAATTTCTGTGGGAAAAAAAAAAAAAAAAAAAAAGTTAGAAAAAACCACTATTAAAAGTATCAATGCTAGAAAAGTTGTGGAAAATGCTGAAGTTTCTCCTTTTCTTGAGAGAGGGAGAAATAACCCCTGAACCTCTTTGAAGGCTGGAGTGGTGAAGCCACGGGAGATTGTTTTCTTTGGGTTGTTGTTCTTTTTCTTCTTCAGTCTATGGTTTCTGTTTCAACAGTTACCAGAACCTAAAGAGCATGTGATGAAATGCTGCTGTAATATGTTTGTAATTCCAGCCTATGTAAACCAATAAAAAGAGGATTGCAGCTTATAATGAATATACGATTATGTGAAACTTGACATATTTTGAATCACACAGTAGGAACATACTTTTATTAGTAATTTGGTGTCCCTGATTTACAGTGTGTTTCTAACCATTGGGCAGCTGGCCACGGCTCATAACTCAGCCCAATGTATAATATGGAACTTGGCTGGAGAATCCAGAAATCTATTAAATGTAGGTAACAATTATAAACCGAGATGTACAGCATTCCTTGGGTTGTAAGCATCTATCACTGGAAGCCATCAGGGGAGAAGGTGGAGGCTGTGTGTTTCCAAGCTTTCGGCTTCTTGGGTTGGAGGAGGAAGGACCAAAGCTGTAAAAAATTAAAAGGGTGTTGGGAGCTGGACAACGTTGATAGGCAGAGTTACGCAGTTACGTGTTCGTTATGGAGAACAGCTCTCCAGTGTAGGCGAGCGTCACTCACAGGTCATTGAGAACTTGATGATGGTGTTTTCACGTGGGCTTTCCATGGCCTGGAGAGTTTGCTGTCCCCACTGCTCTACCACCTTGCTGTGCAGAGAGAGTCCAGCCAAGCAGCAAAGGCTGCCATGACCTGCTGTAAAGCTGGGGTGCTTTTTAACCAAGTTCCTGTACGTCGACTCGATATGGGGGGGCTTTTTTGTTTTCGTTTTCTGCTTTTCTTGGCTTAGTTGGCATTGGCTCTCACGTTACCTCCTCCTCCTCCTCCAATTGATGGATATTAGCTCTTTGAGACCTGTCTTCCAGCGTAGGGACAGCTGTTAACGGTGCCCCAAGAGTCAGCTCCTGGGGGTGCTCCGTATGAGACCAACCACCTCCCCAAGGCTCAAGCAGCTGAAGGTTAACCTGGGCTCGTTGCGTGTCCTGCCCTTTTTTCATGGCCAAAGTTCGAGCTGGAGCTCAGCACCCCATGGCCAGGGGTGCTGGGGGGAGAGCCAGGCTCGCAAAGGGGCCGCTAGAGTGGTCCCAGCTGGAAGCTGCTCTGCGGATCCTGCAGCTGGAGGTCTCGGGGCCTGACCTTCGAGATGCAGAGGCAGGATTTCTGTGCACGATATTTCCGTGCAGATACCATCGGTGGCCGTGCCGTTAGGGCAGCCACGCGTGCCAGTTACAAGCCTGTATTTTTGCACATGGTACATGCTAAAAACCTGGAGATGGAGCTGTGTTTTGTGACCATCCTTCATCTCCGCTTTCTTGGGTCATCAGGAGCTTGTAGTCAGAGAGCTCTTGTATCATAGGAGTCATCAGAGTATGAGAAACAAAAAGGTTTTCTTCAGAAACATGGGACAAAGAGAGAAGTTGGTGCAGGCTGAAGATGTTCATGTGGGACTTGGGAGACATGCATTATATTCTCTCAATATCTTGGACAAGTGTTAGGCTCTGATCTAGAAAGAGAGACCCGTTGATTTCAGTAGGAATCACCTTTTTGGGCCGTAGTCCTTCCTTGGACTGGTACGACTGCAGTGTGATAGAGGGGAGCACAGGAGGATGGGAAACTTGGGAGTTCTCCATCTGCTTTGCTGCTGGAGAGAGAAAAGTCAGCTAGACAGACAGGTTCTCTGTAGCTTGACCCATCAGGATCCAGCTGTACCACGAGGCCATTGACTCGTGTTGCTGTGTTGACTCTCATGAACCGGCATTTTATGTGACTTGAGGCAAAAACCAGCATCATGTTGTGTCCCACAGCATTACCAAGGAGAGGACAGAAGTTGTCCTTCAGGGGACGTCCAGCCTGGATCCCAATGACCCCGCTGCTGTCTGGGAGGAGTATGACTTCAAATGCAAGCCTGGGGACTTGAAGAGGAGGCCATGCTTCATCACCCCCTACCACTACCGCCTCGACTGGCTTATGTGGTTCGCTGCCTTCCAGGTATGTGCCTTTGGATGTTCAGAGACTTGGGTGTCCCTGGACCAGGAAAAAAACAATTTATATGAATTTACTGTGTGCTGGGGTGGATGAGGGGATATTTGAAGCCCTGGCTGAGTTAATTATGTTTAAAGAAAAAAAAAAAAAAAAGGTTGAATTCCTAAATGATGTCTGCTGCTGGCGTAATGAAACTCTTGGAAATGTTATGTGAGGCTTTTTAATTGTTTCTCAGGAATAATAAGAGTTAAAGACATTGAGAAAGCCCCTGGACTGCACCTGCCCTGCAAAGCGGTGGCAG